TCTTGTTTTTCTGCAGCCAGTTCTCTCCTGGAGCCAGCTATGGGCAGTCACTGGTGACATTTCCACACTGACCAATGTGCCTGAAATTGTCATTAGAGCGACTTTGGACTGCCAGGGGTCGGCTTTTCCCACACAGGTCTGCGTGCATATAAATATAAAATATAAATAAATATAAATATAAATATAAATATAAATATAAATATAAATATAAATATAAATATAAATATAAATAATATGTATCGCTTTATTCAGACTTGGCTTTTCTCTGTCTCCTAGCAAAAAAATGTGTGAGAATGGGGATGGAGTTGGGTTTGGGTGTGACTGAAGAAGGACCAAGAAAATAAGACAGCTCCTGGAATAAGCAAAAAAAGTTTTCCTCCCTACAGGGCAGTGGATTCATTCCCTCCTCAGCCTTTTAATTTTCCTCCATGGACAATATTCTCAAAAAGATTTCCCAAAGGGCCTTGGTTCCATTCAGGAGGAGCTGCTGGAAGTTCGGTGTGGGTTTGGAAGTGCAATCGACACAGGCAAGAGTTTGGGAACTCTCAGGAAGGAACTTCTCCCAGCTGCAAGCTGAATTATTTCTGATCGCATTCTCCATGTACCAGGCAGGGGTGGAATCCATTCTCCCCCAGTTTCTCAGATCTTGCCTGAGCTTGTAAAAATTCATCCAACAACTCCACTGAGGCCAGCAGGAGATGACCCTTGGCCCATCAGGATCTGAATAAACCTCTCAACTAGAAAAAGTAGCAGTCTTTTTTCCTCAAAAGCCTGTCACTGTTCGGTGGGGAAGGCAAGGGGCTGTGGAGCTCACTGAACTGCAGAGCAGACCAGGCCTTTGAAACTCAGAGTTAAAAAATTAAAGATTCTGCCTGGGGCCTGTAACCTCTGCTGAGGTGTCAGTCCCAGCTTGGGCTGTGAGGGATAAAACCTCATGGTGCTTCAAACCATTAAACCAGCTCAGTGTATTTCATGGCAGCCTGAAAACCTGACTTGCCTTGTTATTAGAAATGGAACATACGGTATACATTTAGCAATCCCCGGTGTATTTAGCATTTCACATCAGTCAGATTTTACTCGACACGAAAATCTGAACTTTAACCTGTATTTAAATGTCTGGATTTCTTGCTCTAATTTGACATACTCAAATGTCCTAGTTCCTGGCAAGCCCCAGGTCTTTGCTGGGTAAATGTTCTGAACCATGGCTGCCCAAATGGGTACTGGTGTCACAGGAACCACTCGCTGCTGTGCTGCAAAAAAAGATTTCAGTGGCTATCCCCAGTACATGACAGCCCCCAGGGACACAGTCCTTGCAGATGTACCTTAGTGGGGGTGAAAATGAGCTTTTCTAACCCTCCATCACATGTAGAATACAGGCACAATGGCTGCAGACCCTCGTGCTGCCTTTAACAACATTTGGATATGATTTTATGCATGAATTAGGCTCAAAATAATAATATTCAGTGTTTGGGTCATTATGACTGCCTGCAGAAAAAGCAAAGCTCCCAAACCCCCCTGCAGGGTGAGAACTGCCCTGCTTTGACACAGACCCCCAGCAGGACTTGGGCACAACACTGGGGCCACACACAAGAGCACACACGTGTGTCTAAGGTTGTTTATTAATTCGGTCTGTTCTAAGTTGTACAATTATGAAAACAACAAAACGACTGCTGGAAGCCCAGGAATATTTACAATCTCGCCTTGTTGTAGTGAGGTCAGTCTATGTTGTTGCACAGATTGGTTATGTTTGGTACCACAAGATGTTTAAAATTCAGACAAATTTGAACAGATTAACAATTGTATATACAGGAAATAAAAGGAAATTCAAGTATCAAAATACAGACAGATTAAATAACATTTGTATTACAAATCAGCCCCACTGCCATACATCACAATTAGCAAAAATGTCCACATTGCAAACTGAACTCGACTGTCTCTGCCCTGTCAGGGAATCCCAGGTTATTCTTCTGTGGGTAAGAAAAATGTCTGAGCTGGGTTGACTTAGCGAGAACAGCACAGGTACTTTTCTTTTGGGAAACCAAATTTAAGGTAATTTCAATGAGAGATCTAAAAGGGAGACCTTTGCAACACGGCAGCGTTGTGAGCGCTGTGCCAGCTCCAAAGCAGGATGTGAGCAGAGCCAGGGAAATGCTGCTGCTGGAAACTTCTGAGGTGGGTGGAAGGAGCATTAAAGCATTGGCTCCACCTCAGCTGCACACAGAACGGGACGAGTTCGGGGCTTTTTGGCATCTGCTCTGTGTCTCAGCAGCCTCCTGAAGGTACAGACTTCACTGCAGGTACAGCCTGGAAGGTGCTGCATCTTCTCCCTGGGAGGGGGACAGGCGTGTACCCCAAAAAAGTTGCATAATTTCTTCTAAAAAAGAACAATCCCAAAGCAAGTTTAAAGTCAGTTGAACAGCTAAGGTTAGCGCTGTTTTCTTTTTTTCTTTGTAAACACAAAATAAAAAAAAGGATAAAGCATCTTCAATTTGAAAAAAAAAATCATCCCCTCCTATAAAAGGAAAGACAAAACTTGGCAACTCTGTTTGCCAGCCGTGAGTGAGGGCTCAGCCCACAAACCAAAGTCTGTGAAAAACACAATCTGTCTTTAAAGAGAGGAACAGAGGAGCCCCAACTCCTCCCGGGCAGGTAATACAGCAGATGCAGTTGGATGCAAGGTCATGTTCAGCACCAGAAATTTGGGGCAGTTTCCTCCAGATAGCACAAAACCCTGCAGGGAGGAAGAGCCCGAATACTGCACAGTGGGTGGGTGAGGGTGGCCAGGAGCCAAGGACTGGCACAGCCCAGGGTCACCCCACCACACTGAACTGCCAAAACAACTGCTCTGTCTGTGAGAAAGGTGAGAAAGGGAGTGTCTGGCTAAAGAATGGATCACTAAAGACAACCACAGGTTTACACGTGGGGCTGGAACGGACCGCCAGGGTCACCGAGCCCAGTGCCTGAAGATTGGAGTCTTCATCACCACGTTACCTCCAAGCCAACCTCCAAAAAAGCTCACGTGTCAGCAAGGAAAGGTGTCCCTCCTCCCAAGCAGAGGTTCAATTTGCAATCTCACCAAAGACTTGTTGCCAACACACCAAATATTTACACTTACACCAGTATGAATTGCAACATGTGCATAACAAGGAATGTTAGGTTTCTTAAATTCATTGATTCAACCCAAAATCTCCACTCCCCCTTCCCAATCCAGGTCTGTGCCCTTGGGATTATGGTTCACTTCCCTCCCAGCCTCACTGCTGAGAGAGACTAAAGGAAATCCTGACAATACAGCAGCAAGTGGAGTTAAACAGGAATTATTGGGCACAGTGTTCTCGTGCAGCAGCAGGTCCCACAGCCATGTCAGGGCCTGACGAGATCGCGACAGACGCACTGCGCTGCATTCTGCATCTGAAGAAATCAAATCACAACCATTTTAACATTCTCCCCAGAGGGGAACAGTCTGAAAACACGTCAGTCACAGCCCAAACCACTGTGAAACGCTCTGTAACTCAGAATAAAAGCAAGCACACAACACCTTTGAGGTGGTGTCTTTGGGGACACTGGGCTCGGACGGGGCCAAGCCACCCTCAGGCTGATGTGGTTTGTCCTTGGGGATGGACTGTTTCAGTGTAATGCCCAAAATTTAACTCCTCATTTGTTCATCTTCTGAAACGGTTGCACTAATTAAATAATGAGCTAGTATCAAAAAAGTGCTAAATCACAATTGAATATACTTAAAAAAACCCCAACCCTTCAGGGCATAACTGCATTTAAAAACAAGACAGGTGCACAGAGGCTGGGGCAGGGAGTTGTCCCCAGGAATTCAGTGCGGAAATGAGAAGAAATGGGGTCCTTGCCATAGAAATGTCAAGTATTGCAACACAACAGTTCAGGGGGATAAGGAAGTTTTGTACCATCGGGGGTATTGGCCACAGCTGCTCTGGGGTGAAGGATCCTTCGCAGATTCTTTTCCTCAAGTTCCTTCCATTTGCTACAAAAGCGTGGAGTGGCTCGGAGAACAGGATGCAGACTTACCCTGCCAGGTTCTCACACAGGAGGAAGCGATCTCCAGGAATTTGGCGTTCTCTCCTGCTCACCCAGAGCTGAGGCAGAGTAAGTACCATCAGAAATGTGCACACCACGCCCCTGCTAAGACTTTCTCTCGTGCTCCTCGCCAGACTGCAGGATTCTCAACAATTAAAAATCTGTTGGCTTTCTCTTTTTTTCCTCACCAAAAGGCTGCAGCGCTACATTGAAACCGTGAACCGGATTTGCTCTGAGTCTCTTTGTTAAAAAAGAAATGAGTTGAAAGACGTTTTGTCTCAAACTAGGAAAGGCGACATCGCTCCTGGCCTCCGAGTGTGGAGCTTTCCTTTGCTAGGAATGGAGATGAGCAGCTTTCCTTGGCGGAGGCTGGCTCCCTGCCCCCCTGTGCTCCGGCAGCCCTCACCGAGCAGCCACGCACCCACCCGTGCCACAGGGAGATGATCTTCGTGTCAGGAGGCCACTGCGTCCCAGGTCTCTGCCCCAGCACTACATCCTGTGGTAGGAGACGGCTGCCCGGAGCTCAGCTTCGCAGAGGCAAACAGAAAGGGAGATAATGGAATGAATGTCCGAGTCACACAAAGACACGTGCTGGGAAAGGCCGGGCGAACGGCCCGGAGATGGGACACAAAATCTGTCAGGGTACGGACACAGAGCGGCAGTGGTTTGGTTTGGGAAGGGCTGCCTGTGATCCCTGCTGGGTTTGGTCACCCTAAGAAAGGCACACGCTCTCCTGACCTGGATTTAGGGGTGTGGAGGGACCTGCCCTAACAGCTGAGAGCAGGGGGAGGTGAAGGGCTCAGAGCCTCTGACACTAGGGGGACGTGTGGCAGCTGTGTGCTAACACCTACACATAGAAACCATTCTGCCACCCACACCAGGGAGTGAGTTTCTCTTAAAGGGACACAGAAACCTTCATGGCACTCCTAGAGCTTGGAAAAGTGCTGATGGAACCCAAACCCAACCTCCCAGAGCACCTCAGGCACAGCAATGTCCTGCTGTCCACACGGCCTGGGCTGGCAGGGTGGCACAGCAGGCCCTGGGCAGTGCTGACTCTGTGTCAGGGGACTCTATAGCATATGAAATGTATGAACTAGATTGAGCTTTCTTTTGTTTGGTTTTTTTTTTTGCTTTAAGACAACATTTTTACTTTTAGTCCTCTCACTTGGTTCCCACTGGCTGAGCCCTCAGTCTGAGGTCAGTTTGCCATTAAGTCATAAATGACTTGGGAGATCAAACTCATTCCTGAGAAAGAGCTAAAATAAGGACTTTTAAAACATCAGATTTCATTGCAGGTGAGGGGAAATGGAAGATCTGAAGCAGCAGCTCCAAAGCCACAGCGAAACTCAGAAAAGCTGCTACTGGGCCCTAACACCAGGGGCAAATAACCCAGGGCTGCTCCCTGACCTCTCCCTGGGATGCTGCTTGTGGTGCCCAGATGACACCTACCCTCCCCAGCCTGGGGCCAACAACAACATGTGCCTTTGGAAGCCTAACCACAGGCTGCCACATGAGAACTACACCCAGCTCTCACGAGAAGTCTGGTGAGTGTAAACACAAGGACTATGAGGGAAAGAAAAACCTACAAAGGACTGAAATGCATGCCACCAAACCGCCCCTCATATCTGAGGGGACAGAGCTCACAGTGGGAACGATCACACACGGCCCAAACCAATGCTCCCCCACCACCCAGAGCAAGTTCTGCACTGGGCTTTGAGGAAGGAGACTGTGGGCAAGGGTGGCCGTGAGGAAATGGAAGTGCCCGTGTGTTATTTGCAGAGAGCATCACAGTGGTTAGTGTCGGTTTGAGTGGCAGGGAGGAGAGGTGAGTTCACTGAACAGTACACAGCCGTGGCTCAGTCGGGAAGAGGAGGATCTAGGAGGAGGGAGTGTGTGCACCGGAGAGACAAGAGGTCTCCATCAGTCCAAAGACAAGGTGAGATAGAAAAAAAAAAGGCCTGGGGAGTATCACATTGCCCCAGGGATTCACAGTGCCAGAGCGAGGGGGGAAGACGTGAAAACGGTGGCGGCTTTCCTGGATCCACATCTCCGCCTGCCAGCCTGCCCTCTCTGCTCCTCCCGCCTGGCGGGCAGCTACAGCGTTACCCTTGTTTCCGAGAAAGGAGATTCACAGTGTTCAGCAGGTACAAAAGCCGGGTAAGTCTACAGTCTCCTAAGTGCTGCTGCCTTGGACGTGGTGCCTAGGCGGGCTCAGGGCGAGCAGCTGGAGGAAGAGGGAGTTTAGAAGAGCAGACAGATCAGATCGCAAAGGCACGGTTAGACGGGGCGGGCGCGGGCGCTTGCTTTAGAAGATAGTGGTCTCATACTTAGTGCTGAGGGTCCGCTTGGAGTCCTGCTTGGGGTCCACGACCCAGGAGACACTGGCATGAGACTGGGAGTCTTGGTCCACTTCAGGAGGATCCAGCTAGAAAATAAGGAGAGAAAGGGCATCTTAGGACTCCTGCACTTCTGGGACAGAATGAGCGGGGACTCAAAGCACAGAGTGCCTGCCTGCCTACTGCCCGTCCCAAAAATGTGCACGTGTGCAAGGAAGCAGCTCTTGCTGGGGAGGCATTTGAGCCCTTCACAGCTAAAACGTGTCTGCCCACGTCAGTCTCAACCCAGCACCCCAAGATGACTCCCTGCATTAGGCTGTGAGTCCCTGTCACCATCAGCGACAGCTTTGCTCATCTCAAACAAGCATGAAAAACGGAGCGCTACAGAAATGGGACAGAGGGAGACAGCTCCTGGCAGGTGAGCTCCCACGTGATTCACCCTCCTGACCCAGCACAGCTCTTTCCTCTTGTCCTGCTAAATCAGGGTGCCACGGGGAAGCTACCACCCCAGCAGGAGCAGCAGGGTTAGCTGAGAGCTGCCACACTGCATCAGCAGGGGCGGGAGGGAGCAACAGATCCCCGGGGTTCATCCAAACCCCTGACATGGGCCAGAACGAGCATGGGGATGAACAACAGTGAGGCAGGACACGGGGGCACAGCAGGAGATAGAGGGAGTGGGGAGGCAGCCCGGGGCGGTTTGGAATGGAGGATGGCAGGAAGAAGGGTAAAGACCTTCGCTCCAGGACTAACAGACTGCAGCGGCAGGTAGGAGGGGCGGTGAGTTGTACAGGTGTGACAGTAACAACAGCGGGTGTCGGGAGGGAGCGGCACCTGAGCGGGGGGAGCAAGCAGAACACAGACAAAAGGACACATTAAAGGAAGGCAGTGGCTTGTGCAGCAGTCCCTGCTCCTCAGCAGCTCCAGTCTTAGCCGGTTTTGGTTATGGGGAATCCCATACTGCAGCTCACCTATGTAACTCACTGCAGGGTTTGCACATGGAAGCTTGTGCTGGACCCAGCAGGGCACTAAAGCCCCATCCCACCTGGGCTATTTCCACCACTGCCTGCCCTTCTGCAACCAGGAGAAGCCCCAGCCCCACAGCAGAAGTGACACAGGCACAGACCTGCAGTGCCAGCAGCAGGAGAGGCACCTGGACCCTGGCTGGGCTCCCCCCACCACCCAGGGCAGGTGTGTAGGGGTGTGGTGCCCACCAGAACCCCCAGCTCAGCCCAGCAGGTCGCTCCTGCCCGCACCCACGTACCGCGGATTTCCTCATGCCTGCTCGTGGTTTAGGCACCGGTTTGGAAGATTTTGTTTCAATCATTTCTCCTGCTCCAGCACCCAGAGGCTTTGCTCTCTGGGCTTGCAGGGCGAGCTGGTAGGCGACCTCGAATGCCTGCCCCAACGTGAGGATGATCTCGTACGTCAGGTTCTTGGAGAGAACAGAGAGAACACAAAGCTGTCAGATCGCCCTGTACACGGTCCCCCTTGTGCTCAGAAGCTGCTATGGGGTCACAGACCTTCCCATCAGCAGGTCACATCCTGCTGTGTCCCTGGCAAAGCCACTGAGCTCCAGACATGAGGAGAGCCTGACCATGCTGCCTGCCCCAGGTCCCTGCCCACCTGTAAGGCCCCACCAGCACTGCCAGTTCAACAGCATAAATAAAAATAGCCCAAAAGTTTTGTGCAATTTTGATTCTGCCCAAGTATAAAAGCAAATCACCCTTCTACCTTCTCTGAGTTGTTAAATCAGCCCATTATGCTGAACATAATTGAGAGCATGTTAGGGGTTTGTGCACGGCACATTCCCCAGGAGGAAAAGCTCCTGCCCTGCTTTATTCAGCACTGGAGACAGCAGTAATGAAACCAGAGAAATACTCTCTTTGTCCACAGAGGTCCAAAGGACAGGCATTTGGAACTAAGACTACTTTATGGTAAAAATGGGTGAAAAAACCCTGGAAAGAAGCAGTCTGTGACCAGCCAATAATGCTGAGGGATGAAACAAATGGGCTGTGAAGGACCAGGAGATGTGACATGGCAATGCACTCACCACATCCACAGTGCTGAAGACATGGCAGTAGTGATGGCTGGTCTGCAGGTCCTTGGTGATGTAGGCAAATGTGCAGAGATCCTCAGGGTCCTGGGCAGCACAGGAGATGTTCCGGATCTCGTGCTCAGCAATGACATTCTGCCGGGGTCAACCACAAGCACCCGTCACCCTTCTGGGGATGGCAAATACACCCTGCAAACAGTGCCTGTGGAGGGTGTCCTGGGGACAGGGAAGGGGGGTCTCCCAGCCAGACCAGTCCCAGCTCCCTCCCATGGCAGGAAGAAATGGCAACGTGGTCCACAAGCAGCCAGTCTGCCAAGCCTTTGGCACTCAGGTGATCATCACCACCTTGGTATTCTCCCCCAGCCCCAGAAGCTCCCCAGGACTTGCTGTAGCTTCTGGAGCCACAAAAAGAGACCTGCAGCCCCCAGGCAGATGGGATTGCAGGCTGTGTCCCTCCAGACACCGACTTTGAGGCATCAGCAGCTCACCTTGTTGGAGGCATCGATGAACTTCACCCCTTTGTACGTGATGGACAGGATTATGGTTGGGATCTTCTTCATGTGCTCCGTGGATTTCTTCAGGAAGGAGAATATTCAAATGTGAATGGATGGACCAACTGTGAATGGATGCTCCCTCTTTACCCCCACCCCAGAGACCCCCAGGCCTGTACAGGAATCTGGGGATCTGGGAACAGGAGGAGGAATGCAGAGGTGGAAGAGACAAGGACCTAAAGAGAACCCTGCCACCTCTTCCCCACCCTCCCAGACCCTCTGGGTACTGGGAACAATGCTGGCAAGGGGGCAGTTCACCAGAAACAGTGGCACTGCCTGTTTGTGGACAGGGTTTGGGGAACCACTGAGGTCCTCTCCCCAGCCCACATCATCCCCCACAGGCTGCAAGTGAAGCCCCCAGCCCCAGGGTCTCCCTACCCTCATCTTGGCACAGGCGTCCTGGGTAGACTCTGTCCCTCGGAGGTCTTTGATCAGCATGGAGCCCAAGTACTGTGTGAGGGAGGGAGAGATGTTAAATCCTGCCACTCCCAAGGCAATGACAGTGCCCTGAGAGCCCAGAGCTCCTCAGCCTCACCACCCCACAAAGCAAAAGCCACTTACGTTGGCCTCGTACCCGCAGGACTCGAAGATGAGCTTCTCGGGCTGGTGCTGCCAGTTCTGAACAGGGGCATAGGGGGCTGCCAGGCTGGGGGGGCGCAGGGTGAGCCTGGACTCCCGGCGGTCCTCCTGCAGGGCAACAAGCACGGATGTGAAGCCAAAATGGGTTGGAACAGCTCTCAGGGGGGCTTTTTGAGCTGAGGGGACTGAGGTTGGCAATGGCCAAATGCCCCAGGAGCTGGGTGGAGGCAGCACGTGGGGTTAAGGTGCCAGTGCTGACGGAAGTGTGAGCCATCCATATTTGAGGTGAAACTGAGCCATAAAGGAGCTGCTGACTTGAATGTCTGAGAGAAATGAGCCTGACCAGCTCCCTCCCTGCATCATCCTCGTTTCTCCCTGGCTCCAGAGATGGGGGAGCCTGTGCAGAGGCTCCCAGGACACACAAAGCACCCACTAACCTGTGCTTTGTAGCGCTCAACTCTGGAGTAGGGAGCAAGCTCAGTGCCACGGTCGTGCTGCCTCTTGGCAGTGTCCCCGGAGGGCAGCAGCAGATCAGCAGATCTGCCCGTGCAGGAGTCGTTCTGGCTCAGGGGAGACGACGTCTGGGACATCAAATCCTGGCACTGGAAGGAGCAAACACCACAAAGGAACCCAGTCAGCTGGGACTGTGCTGTGCCCCCCATCACTCCCTCTACACTGCCCAACACAGCGTGCACTGAGTGGACTAACGGGGTCAGCTCCTGCTCTGGGGGTTCCTGCCTCAGTGCCAATCCCACCCTTTGCCTTCTGCATGAGACACTTGATTTGCTCCAGGATGGTTTCAGTCGTGTACTCAACCCTTTGTGCCCAGTGTGCACCAAGATGGTTTCAGCCATGTACTCAAGCCTTTGTGCCCAGCATAGTTTCAGCCATGTACTCCATGCTCCAGGTTGGTTTCAGCCATGTATTCATCCCTTTGTGCCCAGCATGCTCCAGCATAGTTTCAGCCATGTACTCAGCCCTTTGTACCCAGCATGGTTTCAGCCATGTACTCATCCTTTTGTGCCCAGGATGGTTTCAGCCATATACTCATCTCTTTGTGCCCAGCGTGCCTCTGCCTCTGAGAGCTCATCCCAGGAGGGCAGGGACACGCTGGGCTGGGGGCAAGGTGATTCCAGAGGGGTGGGCTCCCCTGAAGCACCAAGCTAAGCACCCGAGGGTGATGATGATCAGCCAGCCCAGCCGAGGAGCGCCGGGAGCCGCCGCCAGAGCGCGCCCAGGCCCCGCAGGCACGGCCGAGCCTCGGCACAGCTGTGGCCGCATTAGTCCCATTCAAAGCACTCGCTTGATTTGCCATTGACGTCCGCCCGCCCCCCGCGCCGCAGCCAGCGTGGAGCTCACCAGCTGCAGCGCCAGGAAATGCTGCACATGGCCCGTTCTGCCTCCCCAGCAGCATCTCAATCAGCTGAGCAGCCTCTCCCTGCCTCAGCCCTGCTGCTGCCCACGGTGCAGATCCTTCCTTGGCTGCTGGTCCCTCCTGGGCTCCTGCTGCTTGGCACAGGGCAGTGGGCAGTGGGTCTGTACTGGGCACCCTCCCAGTAAAGCACCAGAGTGAGCTCTCTCTGTTCTCTCACTTGAACCCAGCTCCTAAAGAATCCCCTGTCAGCAAACATGGATCCCAGCTCGCTTCAGCTGAGGCTGTTTGGGTTTGAAAGGCTTGGGAATCCAAGAGGGCAGAGCTCTGCAGCAGGGCAAGGACCAGATGTTCAGGTTGGGTAAACTCTAATCACTGCAATTCCTGCTCCAGGAAGCTGATTAGCAATCTCTGGGAGGAGACAGCACGACATGCTACCCCATTCCTGAGCTCAGGGTCGCTCTGAGCCCAGCAGCTTCTGCCAAATTCATCTCTCAAAAGCCAGATTCAGGAAGAGCAGGGAATGTGATGCTTCCCTCCCAGCCAAACCCTGTAAAAAGGGCCTGACAGCCAAATGCTGCCACTCCTGCAGCAAAAATCAACATCCACACATCCTGTCGAGTGTTATTTGGCAGTGAGAGCAGGAGCTCTCAGCAGCCCAGGCGGGCCAGGGAGAGGGCTCTGGATCCCAAGGGTGCAATCAAACACCAAGTCCCAGCTGCAGCCCCTCTCCAGCTGGGCTGGCTCACTGCTGCCTGCTGAAAGCTCCCACATCTCTGACCAGGAAACAAGGGCAAGAGAGTGGGCTCAGAGCTCCCTTCTATGCAGGGCACAGGTGGGAGTGGCACCTTGCACCCCTTCAGTGCAGACACCTGATCCCAAGGGGCAGCCTGACCTTTCCCATGGGGTCACCATCCAGAGAGCTGGAATTATCTTGCCCCACTCACTGCAAGCTTGTCCCTGCACAAGTATTTGCTGCCTGGTGGCTGGAGAGGATGAGGTGAGCAGCTGGATGGACACCACTGGCCATGGCAAGATTTCTCCCAGCACTGACACACGAGCCAGGCAGGGAGCCACGAGCAGGGACTCACTCTGAGCTGTGAGAACCGTGGTGGTTTGGCTGGGGGCTCCTCGTAGGGTCTGTCTGCCAGCGAGGCGATGATCCGCTTCCGATGGCCCAGCAGGTTCACTTTGAGCACCTGCAGGGAGAGATCAGGGTCACCACGGGCACAGAGCCACTCTGAGAGACTTGGAGCAATGCCACCCCCAGGGAACAGGGCAGGAGCTTGCTGCCCTGGCAGGACAGGGGTCACACTCACGTTCACTATCTCAAGCTCCCAGAGGTTTTTCACAGTGTCGATGGAGCTGTAGCCACTCGAGAGGAAGGACTGGATGTAATCCTGCAGCCCCAGGGAGTCGAGCCATGCAGGAACTGATGGCTGGCTATTCCCATCACAGCCCAGGGGTTTCAACTGTGAAAGCATAAGGAAGGTGTTAAAAGCTGCAGGAGCTGGGATCCCAAGGGATATGGGGTCAATGAAAATCAGTTTACAGGGCATCACTATCTCCACTAGCCAGTAACAAAAACACTGTACAAACAAAGAATGTGCTTGGGATCAAGACTGGCAGGCGGAGCAGTCCCAGCATGGAGCTACCACCATCCACACACCCTGGAATAGCAGAATAGTCCTCCTCCTCCTCCCTGCTATTCCCCAGAGCCTTCCCACAGCCCTGCAGATGCAGGGTCTGGCTGTTGTTTCCCCTGTGCCCACAGCCGTGCCTGGCAGTGCCCACCCTGGCGTGCTGACCTTGGGGAGGGAGCGAGCAGCCTGGAGCAGCTTCCGCCGGTGCTGCGGGTCCCCGATGCCGATATCCCGCAGGTCCTGGTCCTCCATGACATTGCAGCCCTGTGGGGACAGCACGGAGTGAGGTGGGAGCAGGGGACAACAGGAGCCACACCACTGTGTGAATGGACATCACACAGTTAGGGCACCCTCCTGGCTTGACCTCCAGCACGTCCTGGCAGCAGCAGGAGGAGGAGGAGGAGGATAAGGAAGGCATCCAAGGCTGGGAACTCTGCCCCATGTAGCGACCTTGGGCACACAGAGCACTGCCCTCCCCTCCCTGCTCCGGGAGCAGCTTCCAGCCCTTAGCCCCAGGGCATGGCTTACAGCCACCTCCGTGGGATTCCACACACAGAGGCTTTAAACATCCTGTAACAGTGCCCAGGCAAACCCCAGCCCCCTCCATGCCTGAGCAGGGGCTCTGGGTTCTGCTCAACCTCCCCACACTGTGCTGAAAACCCATTTTGTGCCCCCTTCCCCCTGCAGAGCAGAAGCACATGGACTCCATCCCCCTTTGAAAGCCTCTGTCCCAGCCTACCTCCCTGCCCTCCTACCTGGGCACAGCTCAGCAGGACACGTCTCCCACGGCTGGCAGAGCTGTTGCTGTGTGACTGAGGGTTCCAGCCCCAGCCCAGACCCCCTCCCTGGCCCTGCCTCCCTCTGCTCCCCAGAGAGTCCCAGCAGGTGAGTGCCGACAGCGCCTCGCTGCTCCACATTTTGGTTTTATAAGAGAAACCCAATTAAGGCCGGCCTCAGGGAAGGTGAGGGCAGGTGAGATTGCCAGGCACCCTCCACAAAGGGCAGCAAGGGTTTCCTGCCCCTTCCCATCCGTGCTTTTGTGGGATTTCAGCACAATGTGTGCTTTGCTGAGTGCTACCTGCTTTAAATGCAGTGAGCTGCCCCAGAGCAGCCTCCTCCCAAGCCTGTCCTTGCTCCTGGCCATGCCAGCAGCTGCTCTGCTCTTCCTACCACTTCCATGGCAGGTGTGGTGACAGCAGAGGATGGACATGGCTCTGCACCCAGGAGCTGCCCTGCCCTCGGCCACAGAGTGTTCAGGGAAATGGGAATTAACAGCAGAGATGCCCAGAGACCTCTCTGCCCTGCAGCCCAGACCAGGCATAGAGCAAACAGCAAATGAGCAGTGGGTGGCAGGAGGCAGAGCCCTCAACACCCCCTGACAGGGCTCCTCTGCCTCCCCCTCCCTTGGCAGCTCAGCTCCCACACCCTGCATTCCTGGAGAGCAGAGCCTGAGCTGACAGCCATGGCACAAAGGCATTTATTTGTCTGAGAGTTGTTCAAACAGAAAAGTCTGGGCTGAATGGCTCTGCAGCCAATGGGGAGGGGCTCATTCTGTGTTTTTTCCCAAAGGCCAGTTCACAGACTGTGCCAGTCAGGGCCATTGTGCTGGGAAGAGCTTCTGCCACTGCCCAGA